TTCATTATCACGAATGGAAAATCCATCTGATAAATCATCACTGTAAAGAAATGTTTATTTAAACTAATCACTGGGATCACTCACTGTTTTTAATTTAAAATTAAACCAATTAAAATTTTCAAATGAAAAATTTAAAAAGCGTTTGTTGTGCAGTAAAATGTTCGACAAAAATAATGGACAATGAGAAAAAAAAAGAATTTATTGTTAACTTTGGTTCAGAAACAGCTAAGCTAACAATCATTGGAAATTCTTTTTCTTTTTTGCAGTAATATCACAGCTGATGAATTAGTTGAGATTATCACAGTGTCTGTACATTTGTCGTCACACCTTACCCGCTGAATGATTTTAGGGAACATTATAGTCAGCTTTCCATTAAGTTTCTAGATTGATCCTTCAGGAAGAATGATACCATATACTGCTTCAATCCATCGCTATTAGATGATACCTGTTTTCAAACATCTTGTGTTCGAATCCCTTCGACAGGAAAAATTGAGTTGCGATGATTCGTCATCAAAAAAAAACCAAACATTAAAACTTTCGATTCTGTTGTCAGCATGATATATATTAATGCTTTTGCATTTATTGTCGTATCTGCCAATAGTTACCGAACAAAACTTCAGGTTAAAAAGGTTTAAACAGATTAAACATTTCACTTCAGAATTAATTTGAAAGATAGCACAAGTAAAAATCCATATTAAATTTTATTTTGAAATTACAAATGTATTGCGAACAGGAAACTTTCAAAGGATTTCAATTCAGTGTTGACTTTTGTTTCAAATCTGAACAATATTAAATTTAATTAAGATGGCATTCGACAAACATAAATTTTCACATCTTGAAATATTTTATATATAAAAACATTCCACTGTTTTCATATAAAAGCATGTCACTTCAGGATTAATTTGGAAAATAGCATAAGTGAAAATCTGTATTAATTTTCATTTTGAAACTACAACTATATTGAGATACAGAGAACCTTCAAACGATTTCAAGTCAAAGTTTTAAGTCAAAGCTGATACCACTTCTCCATTAAGTGATGATTATTGTTATGATCTCTTATTCTTAACCACTCTTAATCAAACGAAATGTGATGCCATTGATAACATTTATAACATAACTAATAAAAAAACCATTGGAATATATGAAGGATTCATGCTGAAGGGACAAGAATCTTGATTAAATCATCCACATCTGCTGGCAAACTCGTAACTGGACATTTCTTCTCTTGCTCCACATACGAATATATGCAACCATAACAAAAACATAACCAGAAACAGCAAGCACCTATTGTGAAAAATTTTTCAATACACTATCACCAATATAAAAATAAGAATAATTTAAACCTTCCCGCACCTGTCTTTGAATTCCGATATTATTTTGATAGTCACCACAAACGTTTATCCGTTTATCCGAATGATCAATACGAGAGATAATTTTTATCCATAAAAGCAAACAATACATACCGTATCATTAGTGCGCTGTCGTAAGCATAGGGGACATTTGTTCGTTTCCAGAAGTAACACAGAACTTTCTCGTAATTTCTAGAAAATCATATCTTATGGATACAGTGTTTTCATAAATATCACAAACATAAAGACCAATAATATCGATTGTTTTTTTTTTTATCATCAAAAATACGACTACATGATAAATTATATACATATATACATATATACCTTGTGAGGTGCTGGTGGAAATTTCCAGTTCCTTGTTCTCTGCTCCATTCGAAAATTCTCCCCAGTATCACTATTATAATAGAAATCCAAAAACTGGATAAAATAAAGGCCAAAAGTTATGCAACGAGTAAGAATGCTAGCTAAAATAGCTAATACCCGCCAAGATCTTCTGAAATATCATTCATTTATTCGTTACTATAGATCTAAAACTACAATAGAGGAATGAAGATTCATTGCTGCATCCATCGCTTTATCCAAAATCTAGGTAACTTATTTGTTCAAAAAACATATATATGAAGAATATATGTAGATATATGAAAAAAAATATGTATTTGACGATCAAGAATAAATCATACTTTTTGTTTTCTTCGCCGATATCAATTTGAGTGAATTTCACCAAATGTACATTTGCAAATTTCAGTTCCGGCGAATGTACATTACACAATGATAAAATATATGCAATTTTAAGAAGAAAAGCAAAGGTAGAGAATAATATTTTGATCCACGGATAGTAGTTGACGAGAATATGAATTAATGGAAGTTGCTGAAAAAGTTAAGGTAATTTATAATGTCACAAACGCATGCTTTTGATTGGTTATTTAATTTTCTTAAATAAAAGTAGAATTTTCAGGAAAAAAATTTTCTTGCAAAATAATTCAGGTAACACATTATCATTGGCAGGAGATTGTAGATGTTGCAAAGTGTGTTCCTGAACTAAAAGTTAACCGGGTCATGTAAAAGCATAGTTCAAATCAAAAGATGATAAACATATTTTTCAAGTCGACCAATATATTCACATATCTTTACACAGATAAATCGTATAAATCGAAAGAATGGGTTAGAAACTGCACGCGATTTTCGAGCGAAATATAATGGAAGGGATTTTAAAAACGAAGTGCAATTCTTTCATTTTTTTTATTTTTTGTCGATCCAAGTGGGAATATTCTTACCATAAAATTTACCCTTGAATTAGTTGTGGTCGTATATGTTGATAACAACAAATGAATTTTTTCCAATTTTTTCATGATATATGGCCATCCAACCTATAAAACAGTATTTTTGCCAGCTTTTTCTTCTCCGAAAATTGTCGAATTTAAGACAACGACACTTTAAAATGTTAAAAAAAAGAAAGAAATGAAGTCGCAATGAACTTGTTTTGTTTGACGTCCAATCAAAAATAATGTATTCCCTGATTAACAATTTTAACACATTCAATAGCTAAAGATTCAGAGAATTCAGAAGTTAAGTTGTTAGTAATTGTTGCTCTACTCAGTGTTACAAACACCACCATAATTTCAAACAAAATTTTGCCGGCGCTAGAAAGTACATCATAACATGTTGAAAAGAGAAATAATGAAATATATTATTTTATATTACAGAACTATAAGTCATGGAATATCTGCTATCTCATGTCACCATCTTTTTCCAGTATGCTGTAATGCTGTTGACACTTTAACAAAAAAGTCATAGGAAATATCAAATCCAATTTTGTATTAAAGCATTTTATGATAGTCAATCAAATGTAATGTTTTTTGTTCTTTCCTCTGCCTGAACTACGGTTAAATATTTCCTTATCTTCAGTTTACAACAATTTTTTAATGCAAATTCTAGGTTACTCAATTTATGGTGAAAGTTTACAAAATAATTCCGAAATTTTTCAAAAATAACTTACAAGCATGAATAAAGAACGTAGTTTTGGAAATCCTGTTGAGGCTGATTTGCATGTGCCATTAATTATGCGTTTCATTCCATAAAAATTTTCGGCAAGTGAACCTCCTGAATAACATTGAAACTAGGAGGAAATTCCTTGAATTTCCTACCGAAATGATTCAGAATTCTCGAATATTGGATTTAGACACATATAAATCCACTACAACTATTAACCTTATACAAACCATCCAAAGTTGTTAATTTACACTTCCTACCACTCCATACTTTGTTGCTCCTACTTGTTGAGATTTCCATAGTAGTTGAAATATTAGTTTCAACTGCATTCAAGAGATACTTAAGCATTAATTCATACACCTTTCTTTTATTTTCTCAGAGAAAATGTGTCAAATAAGAAAAACTAACCGTATTTTTTCAAATAGAAAGTTTGAAGAATCAAATCAGCAGTTAAATATATTTCATCGTACCATTTCCATAACAGCCTGTATCGCGAAGGATTGCGTTCATATAAATACTTTAAATATTTTAGTTTATTGAACGATGCTCACCTTTTACATTTAATTATTACATCAGAGAAACTCAAGAACTATCTGTGGATATATATAACAAGATTGATTAGTATAAACCATATATTGCATCTTCCTAAAGCGATCATCTCATAACAATAACCTGTTACTTGTTAGAACTAAAGATATGACCTTTTTTTTTGCAAATACTAATAAATGATATTAAAAAATACATAAAGTGTCACCAAGCTTCAATCAAAAATCAAACATATTTTTTTGCTACTGATAAAAGCCGAATGATTGATAACAAGATCATTTCACATTCATTTTAAATCCACAATTTCAATATTTCATTTCAATATCACGCTACCAATTCCTCTTAATTAGTGCTAATTAACTGACAAAAAATTTCTTCTTCGTGGTTTGTAAGAAATGAAAAATGAAAGAGGAAATAAGCACTGAACCTTTACAATATGACGAACGGCTTGTTGAATAGAAACTGATAGACTGTCTTGTGCGATCAATTCAAATATGGACGGCAATACATTAGCACCAATTTCACTTTTTTCGGCTTCAATCATCACTTTGGCACTGATAATGAAATTTTTCATTCAACTGATTTAAAATTGAATCAGTCTCCAGCAGTATAAAGCATAATTGCCAGCATAATTTCAGGCAACCTTCTGAGAATTTTAATCAAACAGTTACCTTCGATTCACACATTATTGGAGATCATTATGAAATCAATTTTAGCCAATACAGATGAAGTGAACATCTCGCTAAAGCGAATGGAACCAAGAAGGTATGATTAGTCATAATAGTAAAATGATTAAAATGATGAAAAAGATTTTTAAAAGTTGAATTTTATGCGTATTCGGGATAATTATATCATATAAACGATTGCTTACGTGATCTCAAAAACCTGATCATCATGTAATATACATAGTCCATGTAATATACATAGTGCCTATAGTAAAATAACAAATAAAATATCGTTCAAACACTGATAACCTGCTAAAAATTTAATAACAATATATTTCCCAGTACAGAAATAGAGTTACTGGTGGAAGAGACATTCGTATTACATCATTGTTGTTACTGCTTATCAGAGCCAGCAGTCTTTCCCATATGTTCAACTAATATTCAAACTCACTGATTACCAGTCACTTATTTCATCCATTCATATTGTACAAGGAAAACATAATGACAATAAAATATGCATGCAAAGTTAAAATGTCCAAATCTATAAACGTATTTGAAACAGTACTTTTTTTTTGAGACGCAAATCTGCAGCCAAGAAATACAGTGACGGAAGAGAGAAGGATCAAAAAATGTGAAGATTGAAATTTTAATGAGTTCTTTCAGGCCAATGAACAAAGAAATGTATTTCAAGGGGTAGTCCTTTACAGCCACAATCATGATAATAATTATTCTCCTGAAGATTCTGGAAACGAAAATTGACTTTTTCATCAAATGGTAATGGTACTGTAGCTGTTTCGATGCCTCTCTTGCCACGATAGATCTGAAGATCAGCATTCGACTGAAACAAGACCTTAACTTTTGGACGGAACTAGGTTAACCTGTGATGTTATTAACTGATTCATGAATAACTGTATAAGCAAAAATACATCGTTATATGAATGCTCATAATTTTTTGTTATTTTCATTCTAATGGGAACTCACCAGAAACTTCATCTCAGCCACATAAGAAGTATTAGGTGGCACAGTTACCGGTTTTTTGAAACTGGTTACAACAGACTTTACGTTATCACCTGTCACTTGAATGACAACAGTTTCTTTCGCAGTTTCACAATTTTTTCCATAGTTAGATTTCAAATTCAGCTGTAAAAATGAAACTTGGACTAAAAAACATCATCGTCAACTTAATTAGCATTTGAATATGACATGCAAAATTCGGTAGAGTGAGAGGTGACAAAAAAAAATGGTTTCAAAATATTGTTATAATTAACCAAATCTTGTTGCAACACTTGGATGTTAATATTAGGATACACAATACATCATGTCCATTCTACGACGTTAGAACATTGCTACTTAAGAGCAAACGTCAATCGGTCAAGCTAAATCAGATTATTTCAAGCCAAATTGGTTGGTCAATAGTTTTTAGTTCAGTTATAACTTCTGGAACACAGATATGTTTTGCAAAGTAACAAACCCGAACTCGCTTTAATCGAATTAAATTACTTCATGTAACGCGGCAATTTCCGACCTTATGTTGAAATGTAAAAAATCGTGTTAAACCTGAATTTCCACTGTAGCTTGCAAATCCTGTGCTTCACTCGATTTTATCATTATCCCAAAACCAATAACCAAAATTTCGCGATCTACTTCGAAACTAAAACCGAAGGAAACAATTTGGAAATAAAGAGTTTCTTTTGCTGAAGAGCCATGAAATTAAAATTAAATGAAATCAGTGGATTTCAACACACCAAACTTTGTTATTTGCGTGCTACACTGTTTATCGAATACAACAGGGAATGGTTTTACTACGTGCCGTGAACATCCGTTACACCTGAAATCTGAACAAGTCCTACATATATATATATATATATATATATACTGACAAAACTATTCTCAGTAGATTAAAAGATGGTCTCCACTCTCCGCAATTTTTTCAAAAGAAAGTTTTTATTAAAATAACATGTTTGTAAGACTTTTTCAATTCAAATTACTCAAAACTTCGACTATTTTCTGAGATCAAAAAATATATTAGACGCAAAAGTGAAGACCGTGATCCAAAATCTTAATGCATTACTGGATGTTTCCAGAAAAAAGTAAACAAGGAGAACCTGTTGGGTAGGAAATCGGCGGACGCGGAACAACGGTCAAGTGAAGAAACACCTGAGCAATTTCCTCACAGGTCAGTAGCGACGAGGATGCTGAAATACAAGGAAATAAGCTTTCAATTTTTGATTAATAAAGATTAGACTAGACCGAAGTTACGCTTGGGCTAAAAAATGATTATGGAAAATATGGAAAGCAAAAGCAAGTAAAAGAAAGTAAACAAAAGATTCTGGGATCAAATGAGGTAAATAAATAATCAATGAGTTTTAGCAGTAAAACAAGAGGAGCTTTACAATAGCAGCGGCCAGATCTCAAGATAAACGAAGGTCAAGTAAAGATGAAAGGGACAAAAGGAAAAAACTGCACCTGCTTCACCAAATTCAGAAATTGTCATCAAAGGGAATCGTATAAGTGAAAGTACTGGACCAAGAACTAGGCGTTGATTCGAAGGATTTACTTCTATTTCTCGTCGCTCACATTCCTAGAAAAAACATTCTTTGGAGAAGTATAGCACAAATTACTAGTATTAATTATTATTATTATTATTTTTTTTTGAGAAGTAGAACACAAACAAACCGCTTCACTCCAAGACTGTGCAGCCTTAAAAACAATAAGTTCACTAGTTGCATTCAACTCATTCCTCTTCAATACTGCTACAAGCGTATCACGATCAATATCTCGGAGCCCTGTAAAAACTCATTTCTACAACAGTACACGAATAGAAAAAATAACATTTATAAGAGGAAATTATTCAAAATCATCTGAAACGGTGAAAAAGTTACGTTATTTTAAAAAATTAGTTTGTTTATTGCATATTATTTGCTACTGCACAGAATATTTATTTTTAGTTCCTCGACAAAAACTTAAATTCATAATTTTTTTTCTTTTTTTTTGTAACACGACAGGAATGCTCTCATTTATCTTGGGAATCATATTACCTGGTGATTTCAGAACTTCATCCGTCTTTGTATCAATCACTAGCAAACACTGCTCTATCAGAGACGGTTCGTCGAAGAAACATGCCTGCGAAAACAGACAAAGTGCATTTGAAGGAGTCAAGCAAGATATTAAATGCTCAACACAAGCCGAAATGAGAGTCTTCACGTCATATTTTTTGCTGAAATAAGTATAGGACTGGAGTGATTTGCAACAGAGTATCGAAATATGGAAACAATTTTCGTATGGTAGTTGGTTATTATAGCATGACTCTCTGGTTCGCGAAAATCTTGATTCAGATGCCTACTATCAAGAAAATTTCGAAGATATGATATGCACACCGAAGATTGATTTGACATATATTTCATAAGACTGGCCAAGTTCAATTGAAAAAAAACTTCAGTCAAATAACAAAGAAGATAGTACCCTCAATCTATTATTGCTTACAAAGTCAGAATAACATGAACAATTATTTTAAAATAATTCCGTATACCAGCTGCATTTCCATAACATCTATAGTCTTATACCTATATTCGAACGGTCTCAGTGATTTAGTGATTTATCTAAATGCGTAACGAAATCAGTGTATTAAAATGTGGTTATTACCCGCGTAGAGCGTTTCCATCACATCATTGTCGTCCGACTCTATCTTATGCAAATCCAAGTAGAGGAAATTAACAAGAGTTGTAAAGGCGTGAGGAGTGACATCCGGACTACAACCGTCATTGGATTATCTCCATCTCCTGGTGTTTCTACAGAAAGAACTTGTAAATGGTGGTGAAATTTCAAACTGATAGTTGTACAAATAAGGAAATATCATCATTAATTACTTATATATGAGTAAATACCATTGTTAAGCATGACTAATAATACTCATATGCTTTTACCAAATACTAATTGCTGCATATGTTTTGAACTAACATTTTCGAAAGGAACTAATCCCCCCTCGTTTAACAGAGAAATATTTTCTTAGAAGAAAAATATTACTCCGTAAAATATAGAGCAATACTTACCCTGTGTCATTTTACCATAGAACATTGTCGCAAATACTTGCGAACCACAACCAAGAACAAGTTTGTGAGCTTTAATAGTCTGGAAGAAAAAAAAGCATGAAATCGGAATGGATTTATCTAATTTAATGAAGAATTCCAGTAATATAACCGATTACAACAGCGGGTGTAAAGTGAGCCAGAAATGTACCAAGAGAAAGGCATGCAAATTGGCCCAAATTCACTCTAAATCCAAATCAGCACAGTTATTTTTATTGCATTTACTTCTATCTAAACTTAAATGATCACCTTGCAATATGATATTGAATTCATTATTAGTATTAAAATAAAATTCGTCTTGTACTAATTTTCCACGCAATTGGAACTGCAAATTCATGATGCATTGATTTAGAAGATTTATTCAGAGAGAAAAAAAACAAATAAATAAATTGTTAATTAACTTTTTCCTCTATCCCAACGATAAATTCAACGTCGCAACCGATGCTTTCGTTACGAAACATTGTAAGTCGTTCAGCAAGTGTTATATTATAATCATTGATTATGCTATAATATGTATGATCTTGATCAGAATTGTCATGTTCATTATTGCCATGTTCAAGTAGCGCTGGAACATCAACCATACTTATCCTGAAAATAAAATCTAAGAAGTTCTACAATTTCATATTTTACTTGCCGTGACTCAAACACTCGATTCTGTCATCATTATGAATGAATCATTAAATTAAATAATGGGGAAAGTTAGATGCAATATGGGAAAGTCACACCATATAATAAGGTAATGCATCAAATCAACTGTAATGTATTCATCAAGAAAGAGGTATAGGGCATATCTATAATCGTTAGCTTCTTAATAGTTTTAGCTTTATTTGTCTTTTTTTTAATAAAAATAACAAGGTGCAAAGTATATCTAATTAAATCAGGCACAAAGTAATTAATTAATTGGCAATTAATTGATCACTTCATGCTTGAAACATAAAAGAGGAAATGGGACCATTACACCTCATGTTCTTATCATTAAATGATACAGTGGTGAATGAAAGATAAGAAAAGACGAGTAATTCAATAAATAAATAACTGACTAATTTTAGTTCACAGCAAAAAAAAATTTCAAGAAGTGCTGAGAAGAATGATTTTTTTATTTGATGGGTTTGGATTCTTTTTCGAAAACTACAAATCATACCAATTTTTTTCGATAATTAAATCCTTATCATCTCCGAATTCATCCTCACTCCTCTGTAAATAATCATATTATAATTACCCCTCAAACCAACCAACCATAACTTTCAAGACAAGTAACCGTTTGAAAATCCCGGAAAAAAGTTCCGGAAAATACCAAGATTTTGTGGCATTTGACGGATCGGACAAAGGTATAAGTTTGGGTATCACGAGTGTTTGTTGAATTGTTTTAGGTGCAGGCAGGTTTTTAATTTCGCTACTCATTTACTTTCGAGTTTTACTGCCAAAGTTGATTTATTATTTATTTTTCATCTCTTACTAATATAATCCGTGGTTTACTTTTAATTTTATATGATTTGTAATTTAAATTTTGCCTTTTGTTCAAGTCGAATTACTCTGATTTCGCTATTTACTTTTAACTTTGTTAAATTGTTGTAATGCTGAAAAAAAACAAAGGAAAGTTTAATTGGATGAGGCACTACCTTTTAATTTTCACTGAAAAACTTATCATCCTCTGGCTGATATACATCGTTCATTATTGCGCAACTTTAACGCGTTAATTATCCCGTCTAATTAAAAGTTTCGGAGAACCAAAGAAATCGGAATTGCTTCTTTATGTTTACTTCTTAAAGGGTTATTTGAAATGCCATCCTTTGATCAGGAGACTTCAACATCATCAACAATGAGTTTGATTTCTGCAGAGGAACACATTCTGAAACAATTAACCAAGGTCAGTTAACTGAAATGTTCGATTCTTTTATCCGAGTCAAATTTTACTGCTTGTATTTTGAATATAAATTCCGAATAGATTCAACGAATGGAAAGACTCGAGCGAAAGTACTTACTGCTTGTTCATTAGAAGATTAGAAAAAATTAGTCAAACGATTTCTTCTGTTATGACAAGTTTGGAAAAGTCATTTTTGAATGTATAACAAGTAAAATTATGCTTAAGAGTAATATGAGTAGTTCATTTGTTTCGTTCCTCCGCCAATTGATTTGAATTATTCCAAAGTTGTTTTAACTGGCCGAATAAACATTTCGAATATACTATAAGACTTGATATGTCGATAAGGATAAAGAGAAAAATGAACTATTGTTAACCTGATTAAAAAGTTTATTTCCCGAGTGATTACAATACAGGCATAAGAATGTGTCACTTTAGTTGTTTAGACATGCTGTAATGTACTGTCACACATTTCAGTAAAGTACTGATGATACTCGTTTGAGTCCTATTAATATGTAGGAAGCTATAGAATAATATATAGAGTAATACGTTTCACATATTTAGGCTATTTGAAATTTTTAATAATAAAGCTGTACCTCAAAATCCATAAGTTAATGATGAGCAGTCTGAAATTGATATGCATATACCAGTCGTCTTGCAAAAAGTGTTATTTATAAGAAGAATGGATTTTCAGGATATGGACAGTACCAAGTTAAGGATATTTTTCGACATTGATTCGACAGTATCATGGATTAGTAATCATGGTTATCGTCGAGTTGCCTTGCAATTTCCCGATTATTTTCTGTCTCTCTCTGCCGATATTGCTACTCTCCTAGAGAGGGAGTGTAACGATAATGCAAAAACATATATTTTAGCCGATACAACATATCGAAGGTACGTATTGCTCAAAAAGTTTAAAGATAGAATCTTAAATTTGAGCTCGTAGACGACAGATGTAATAGGTAAAGAATGCAGAAGTAGATTCTATTCAGCTAGTTTTTTTTTCTTTTTTTCTGACAGAAGTTATTTTTAGAGCATCACAAGTTGAATTGGGACACGACTCATTATAATAGATTAAAGCAAGATTAGCATATTTTCTTTCGTTGGCAAAGTTTCTAGAAATGCTCTAGGCAGCGCTTGCACCGGAAGCCTGCTATTGACTGGAAAAAATAGTGAGCTACTTTTGAATCGTTAAATTGATATCCATCTTTTAAGCATTCTTTTTTTAAATTCATTTTAATTAAGCGAGTCAATTGTTATAAATATTTTTACTCAATCTTTGCAGATTTTACTTTACTTTTATTTATGATTTTATAAAAATTGCAGCTGTTGTGTAGATTTGATAGCAGCAGAGCAATGTGGTGCTGACTGCATCATTCATTATGGAGATTCGTGTATGAGTGAAACCGTAAATCGCATTCCCACCCGATTTGTTTTCGGTAATGTGAGTATCGATTGGAGAAAGTTAGAAGAAGCAGTGCATGAATATAAAGATCAATTTGAACCGAACTGTTGCCTTTTGTTCGATGCAATTTATGCAAATAGCTCAGGTTCATTTCAGTAATTTTCTGTCTGAAATTCATATATTCTGAAAATAGCAAATCATTTGTTTTCTAGAGTGAAATAAAGTTCAACCTTCCGAAACCAAGAAAATATCCAATACATTCATGCATGGTGGGAGAACACCAGATGCACGGAACTTCTGAAGAAAAAGATTCTTTTTTTTTGGAAAATAAATAAGCAAAGATATCTTTCTTAACAATGATATTTGCATTTAAAATGTCATTGTTAAGAAGGTTACAAAGAGGTAGTTATTTTTGTTTGAAAACGCGCTGGACTGTAAAGTTTTGTTTAAGATACTCTGTTCGATGTATTGAGCAAATTCTCCGGTATGGAATCGTTATTCAACTGCAAACTCCTTGATCAATCCAGTAATTCCAAGCACAGTCAGCCTTCTACTTCCAGTAATATATTTTGTCATCTGCTTGCTTTCATTTTCTTCTCTCCTTTTTTTGACCAAATTCCAATTTTGAAAGGCATGGAAACATGACATTTAATATACCGAAGCCATATTGTATATTGTATAGTTCTGGTGATTTTCAAGAATTACTCTTTTTTTGGGAAAGCATTTTTATTTTGTTCCTCACTTTATTTTAGGTGTGGATTGTTGTTTAGGACGTGTGTCACCGAGAGAAAAACAGAATATGACACTTTTGTTCATTGGTGAAACAGGCAGTCCACTGTTGCCTCTTTGGTTGATGACCAATTTAAGCTGTATCAATGTTTTTACATTTTCTCCCATCACTCTCAAGTACTCATTTGAGAGGTAAATCGGTTTTCATTTCATATGATAGTTGATGTTCAGCTGACATCGAGATACCTTAACTTTGTTGGTTCAAGGTTTAAGATTTAAGGTTTATCAATAACGAAATGATTAGTTAAATAGGTAAATCGAGTTCCAGAACTCCAGCCACTCGGCTTCTAAAAAAACGTTTGTTTTTAATCGAAAAATTGCGAGATGCTCAAACTGTTGGTATTGTGATCAATACACTAGATCTGGTTGGATATAAAGAAGCTGTGGAACGGGCCAGGAAACTATGTAAAGTTGCAGGCAAAAAGAGTTATACTCTAGCAGTTGGCAAGGTAAAATCAAGTTTCAAAGTTCACGCAGTGTTTGAAAAAGTCACTTGGAATTATTCTTTATGCAATTGTCATATTTCAATTGTCATATTTTATTATTCCCTCAGTATTTTTTTGGGATCAGTACGAAAAGTAAAATACATACTTTTTCTGAAACTTCTTTGAAGTTTGGTATAGTTCTAGCTGAGCATTCTATAGCGATTTATTATTGTTTCAGATTAACGTGCCAAAACTTTCCAACTTTGCCAATGATATTGAAGCGTTCATTGTTCTTTCTTGCCCATATGGCATTATCTTGGACGTCTCCGACTTTTATCGTCCAGTTTTAAGTCTTTTCGAAGCAGAAGCCGCGTTGAATCCACAATGTAGATGGTCAGCGGGTGATGGATGGGCGGCAGAATTCAAAAATTTCCTGCATGGTAATAATTTTATAATTTCTAAATTGAAGATACTTAAATTGCCATTAGGCGATTATATTGATTTTACGTTTCTTGTCCTTCTATTTCAGTTGGTCAAACTATCAGTATACTTTTATTGTATGACTTGATGAGAGCTGTACATGCAATATTGTTATTGTGATATTATATATCATTGTTTTTAGATGAAATAGGCAGTGAAACTGAGATGAAATCAGATTTGAGCTTAATCACAGGTAGAATGCGCATTACGGGTGTCGAAGATAATGATAGCAATGGTATAAATTCGTGTAATGCCTTAACTACTTATGCAGCTGGTAAGCATTCAGTTTTCGGACTGAGGTATTTGAAATTTTTTGAATTGATGTCTTGTCTACAAAAATTGGATGCATTATGAAGCAATGTGCATGAAAGAGAAGAGGGAAACTTTGTTGCTTTCCGGTTATTCTCCACTGCAGTGATGGTAGGATTGTTTTTCGATTAAATAAATGGTTTTAACAGTAGCTAGAAGAATTTTTACTTCAGTATACTTAAAATATTGCAGGTGATTACTTTTCGCAAAGAACATGGAAAGGACTTGATGATGGATATACTAGTGAAAGTGTTAGTGTACGAGAAGGCCGATCAGGTGTCGCTTCAAAGTACAATTCTGAACCATTTGTGTGATGCTTTTTGTGATGTGTTGTTGCATTTTTGAGATGGTCGCATTTCTTTTGCTTATCAATTATCATACATTGCGTTAATAAAAAAGTCTTAATTAAAAAAGTTCCAGTCTTTCCATGTATGTGACAGGAAGGATTCTTTTTGACATTAGATATTCAGTATAGAATATCACTACATTTTATGGCAACGATACAGCAGGCAAAGCAATAAGGTTAAAAATCGATTGTCAAAAAATTCTGTTACTGACACAATTCAGCATTAATATCTGAGATCATTTTCATGAGCAACACAAAAAGTCCAATTATGGAGAGTGGAAGTGAATAATTTGTTTCATACTTTGAGAGATAATATTTGTAAGAGTAAAATTTTCACCATCATATTATACTCCCATAACAGAGATTAATCTTTGTTCTTTCTTATCTTAATCTTTGTTCTTCAACATATGCAAATAGAAGAGTGTTTGTATATGAATGAAACCATTTCTCTGTATTTTTGCAATATTTAATAGACTACTTTTAATATATATGTTGCATTTTATTGTGATCTTATTCCTGCTAATTTATGGGAATGGGAATTTTATGAATGACAAAGAGATGATTGTTAAATGCTTGGAATAGGATTTGAGGATTGTCATTAAACGGGTCTAACTGATCTGTGAAGGGAAGTTTCAGTTTTATTTTTTTTTTTTGAAAGGAAGTTACATCTAATGAGGGTAGCACGACACAAAGGAATATGAAAGATAAGAGCAATTGGAGAGAGGAAGAGAAAGGAGACATCTTGGAACGGAGATGACAGCCAGGTCAGGAAAAGTGACAGGTGTGGTGGGTTTGTGTGCCTGTATGGGTGTGTATGTGTGCGTGCATACATGTGTGTATGCGTGTCTGTGTGTGTGAGTGAGGGTGTACGTATACATATGTGTATGTACATGTATGTGTGTATGTGTGCGTGTGTGTTTACATGTATGTGTGTATGTATATGTGTATGTGAGGGTGGGTGTGTACATATGTGTATGTGTATACGTGTGGGTGTGTGTGTACATGTATGTGAGTACGAATGGGTGTGTACGTATGTGTATATACATGTGTATGTGTATGTATGTATGTTTGTGCATATACATATATGTAGATGGGCATTGCGTGCATGCTATGAGTGATGACCTTTTACCATTTTTGTTAAATTGTTAAAGTATAAATATGCTATGAGTGGTATATTTTAGCTGCATAAAGACTCCTCCCATTGCTTTCCAGATTGCATCTTGCATCCTGCACCTTGCATCTTGCATACTACATCCTGCATCCTGGACTCTGCACGTTGCATCCTGCATCCTGTACCTTGCATCCTGCATCCTGCACCCTACATCCTGCATTTTGCATCTCGACATATAAATCTTTTAGGTTGAGAATTCCGTGTAGTTTTGATGCACATAAGTAATACTCATCCATCATGATGTGTTTTACACGACATAACACTTCTCACATGACGTTATATAGCAGTCTCATTTTTTTGCGTGCGTGTGATTTGCACGTGATTCTCAGTAACATTTCAAACGATTGTTTCCATCTTTGTTTACATCATCGCTTATTTACCTTTTCTTCCGTTACATATTGGTGATCATTTTACTTCATTTGACAATAAATTCTATCTTTAGATCACGAAATAACAAAAATTCCGTGGAAAAGTAGACCGAAACAACATTATCGTACTCTTCATTATACAGTATGCCGATGTCAGTACAAGATCACAGTAAACGTCGTGTTGCTTATTACTATGATGGTATAAAATTTTTGCTCATTTTTTACTTTTCCAACCGTTAGTTATAAGAATTTAAGTGTCTTTTTTAAAACTATTTCTGCGCGATTTCTTTTGATTTGCCTGTTACTTTCGAATGTTGTTTTTTTTCTCTTTTTTCTTTTGACTTTCTGAATCTCACAAAGTGCAGAGATTCTTTTTGAAGGCTGAATGGAAACATTAATACGAAAACAATTGTTTTATAATTTTATCGATAACAGTAATATGTTCACTTTGCATCCCTGCTAACGTTGGAATTGGTTTATTATAAATTACTGATCGATTTCTGAGTACTAAATATGGTTACATATAGGAGGATAACCCGACTTTATTATCCTTTAATTCCATTTGAAGAATTTATCTGAGGTTTTTTGTTTAATTTGTTCAATATATAAAATCGTATTGTACTGTTGCAGCGAACGTTGGAAATTATTATTATGGACAAGGTCATGTGATGAAGCCTCATCGTATTCGAATGACTCATCATCTTTTACTCAATTACGGTATCTACAGAAATCTGGAAGTTTATGTACGCATAACTTTCTTTTTTAAAAAATCACCAGTGATACGAATAAGATTAGGAAGATAATGTGTGTTTAATTCCTCTTAAGAAGAGGTGGAGATTGTGAGATTATTAGGTTCGGGCTTAAGAAATGGATAAAAAGTGTAAAGTTATTCAGTTATACTTACAAGAGCTTCCGGATTATTATTTTTAGCTACCGTATTTTTAGCGCCCATTTCCAGCAACATTTGAAGAGATGACACGATTTCATACAAATGAATACATGATGTTTTTGCGAACGGCTACACCGGATAACTTGAAACAGTTCAATAAACAAATGTTGAAATGTAATATTCCTCATATTGTTTGATTTGCACTGTTATTGTTGTTTTGGAGTTGTTTTATAACAGGAAACTTTGGATTGTAAGAGTTAATCTTGGAAGATCAATCCTAGTTAGAATGTACCATATGCAAAAATGTTTTCTCCCTTTTAAAAATAAATTAGTTCTTTTTCAGTCAATGTTGGTGAAGATTGTCCAGTTTTCGATGGCTTATTTGAGTTTTGTCAGCTCTCTTGTGGTGGTTCTTTAGGTATGTCATACTATCCGAATTAAAAGCCTTATTCAATGAAAATATGTGGATTCACAGATTGAATCTTTCATGTTGTTCGCTAACTTCAATATCTTTATAGCAGCTGCAGTAAAGCTAAACAAACGGAAAGCCGATATAGCAATAAACTGGATGGGTGGTTTGCATCATGCAAAAAAGAGTGAAGCCAGTGGCTTTTGTTACACAAATGATATTGTCCTGGGCATTCTTGAACTTCTCAAATATCACAAAAGGTAAACGTTTGGAAGATTTTTTTTTTTACTAAAACTGATCTATCATTTTCATTCATAATTTATATGTTAGGACCTATCTCAAATTTCACCATGTTACTGAAACTTCATTATTTTCCTGAACAGTACTTATCAGGCCAGTTAGAAAGAAAAACATCACTTGCAGTTAGAATTTATCATTTCTGTACTCTAATTGCTGTAACATAGCTGCTGAAATTTGGGAATGTTTTGAAATGAAAAGAAAATGTTGATTGTCTGAGTTATACTATTCCAAAAAGCCGTACAAAAAGCATGTGCGGTTGAGTTCTATTGTTAATAATGGCAAAAAAGAAAGAAAGCTCGATGGTAGGAAAATGCGCAGTGGCATGTTGTAATGTGAAGAGAGGCTTGATATACTGAAAAACCCATTCTTCATTAGGTAAAAGATTACATGCTATCATTCATTCTATATCCGATTTTAAAAATCTGTTGGTTTTAGAGTACTTTACGTTGACATTGATGTGCATCATGGTGATGGTGTTGAAGAGGCTTTCTATACTACGGATCGAGTGATGACGTGTTCTTTTCATAAATATGGTGATTTTTTCCCAGGGACGGGAGAGTTGAAAGATATCGGTGCTGGAAGAGGGAAATATTATGCAGTTAATGTACCTTTGAGAGATGGTATCACTGATGAGTCGTATCAGAGCATCTTTGTTCCGGTAAATTTCATTCACTTCATATCAGAGAACATTGCAGCATGTAATACCTACCTGATCGGGACATATAATGGAAGTTTTCTGTCTGTTCAGCTCTAGAATACTGCTATAAACTAAAGGGAGGGAGGGGAGAAGGGTTTTTGTTAAATCACTTAAAAATCATACCTGAACTAAGAACCAAGCAGGTATTCATAACTCTTCATAAATTGAATTCTGTCTTTTCAAATGTCGCAGACTTGATGAGTCAGCTGCAATCATTTTTGATTATACATTTATTAGTTAATCTTTTTGTGTTAAAGGTCATGGAGAGAGTTATGGAAACATTCCAGCCGTGTGCTGTAGTTTTGCAGAACGGAGCTGATTCTTTGAATGGCGATCGCTTAGGCACTTTTAATCTTACTTTAAGAGGTAATATATTTTTTGAAGCGTAGGATTCATGTTAATATTAAGTTTCCCTGCATCCCAGCTTCATTTTTCATTTTTTCTGGAAGAGCACTTTACATTTACTTATCTCTATGAAGCAAATTACGTTTTTTTTTTTTTTTTTTTAATCCACAATACATTTCGATGGAACTCTTTATTCAGGTCATGGTGCTTGTGCCCGATTCTTCCGGGAGCGACACATTCCGCTAATGATGTTGGGTGGCGGTGGCTACACGCCAAGAAATGTGGCTCGGTGCTGGACTTACGAGACTTCAATTGCTGTTGATATGGAAGTCTCTGATGGTGTGTTGATGTTTAGTTATCGAAGTTTTTGATGCGAGTCTTATACTTAAATTCCGAAATCCGGTGATCCATATTAAATCAGAAGGATAGCGTTAATAATTACGAATTATCTGTCCTGATTTTCCACCATTTTATATTAATAAAACCTACTGTGGCGAAATAAGTATAATTCAGTTCCTTAGGTGAACTAGTTGAAGTTTTACAGATCTTCCGTATAACGATTATTTCGAATATTTCGGACCGCATTATCGACTTCATATCGATCCCTCAAATGCTAATAATGAGAACACCCCTGAATTCCTAAAGAAGATTCAGTAAGTTTACGGTAACTGAGAATGTTATCGAACATTTTTGTGCCGTTCTGAGCAAAATATTTCACTGGGATGATAGTTCTACAAGCTTCGAGCATGCTTCATCCTCAATATATAAAAAAAAATGTTTAAGAGAAGGAGTAATGGAGAACTTGCGACATTTACCACATGTTCCAAGTGTGCAAATGCAGCCGATCGGTGATGAATCTTTTACCGAAAAATGTCTTAATGCCGAAGAAGCTGATCGTGACAATGCTAATCCGGATGTCCGGCAACACCGTAAGATGACTTTCACAGTATAAAGGCCTACATTTTATGCTAGATGATGACATCTGGAAGCTATTTTAGACACTGTGTTGGATGCGTCTATTGAAGACCAGGGCGAATTCTACGATAATGAGAAAGAAGGAGGTGATATAAGAAATGAACAGTCTTTCAAACGTTCCGGATCAGAAACTGAGACTTGCGATGCTGAAGTAGCAAAGAAGCCAAAAATGGAGGTATGTTTATCTTTGACATATTTAGTATTTAATTTTTGTCCTCTGAGATGATGCAGAATTACTGTCATGGAAGTAAGGCGATCTGTGCTATCATGTACAGTATTTATTTCGGTTATCTAACGTTGAGATATCTATTTGTTGTTTGAAAATTCTGATTGCTGTCAAGTATCTTGCGGTGTGCAGAGTTGAATTTTTCATAAATACTATGACAAATAAATGGGAGACCAGAACGACCGTTATTAGGAGTAAGCGAAACTTAAGCAAGTTAAGATTATGCCATGAAATTATCATTATTATTTTGTATAGCTCAGGACTTTTACTGATATGTTTTATTTCAGGGATAAAACAGTATCGTAACTTATTCGGAATGAAAATTCGTGGTTCAGGACTCCATGATGGAACACTGTAAAATTCCATTCACATTTTCGATTATCAGAAGTTTGGAATCATGATTTTCGTAACTTCTGGGCTGATCTCAGTTTTTTAGAGTTTCTTGATTTATCTATTTTTATGAAATTTACATTTTCAGTAGTGTGGTTTTAGGTCCGTTCAAGTGATTGTGTTTTTTTTTCTTTTGCTTGTAGAGATGGTAAATTGATTGGTTTATTTTGCAAGTTATTACATTTTTTGTCATGTGTAACTCCAAGTTTTTCCGTTTTTTACATTATTCATGAATTTTTATTCATGAATTAGAGCAGCAAACGCTCGCCCAAACATATATAATATCGTTGTTTCTATTTTCCAAGGAAAGATATTACTCATGAATCAAATTAAAAAGAAGAAGGGCAGGATAAGATCGAAAATTATGAATGTCTACTTAGCTGAAAGCGAATTAGCTGTGATTCAGTTGAGTTCCCAACATTTCCGTTTTTCTTCGGTAGCATTTTGCAGCATGTTAGCATACCTCATTTTATGCTAATGATTGTTAACAAAAGGTCTTGTTTCAAATTTCCTATGTTCTTTTAAAACTTAACTTCTGCTGTTACTAAATTCATTGTATTGAAAACAAACGTTGTTAATCCTAATACAGTAAACAATTCATTCTGGAAATGGGATTTGCATTTTTTTTGTTTGCAAACATATATTGCATTTACAATAACTGCAATGCTCATGATAAGCATACGATTATATTTTGATTATTGTCGCTCATCACATTGTTTATGATTGAACAAATACGTGTATAATTGAAGCAGGGACATATCGAAAATTTCGTTTGCTGCAACATCATTGTCAAAATTTATTTCCTAGATTTTGTTGACTGATATGTGATTTTTCAGAATCACGTCAAAAAGTTTTATCCTTTTTGCACTTTTTTTTTCTTTCTGGAGACAATTCATGTACGGAAATCTTGTGAACTTAATGTCATATTCATTTGATAATTGAAATGAATGAAAGGAAAAAGCAATTTTTGGTGTGGCAGAAGGTTATATATATATATATATATATATATATATATATATATATATATATATATAATATATATATATAT